AGTCTGAAAATAGACTTTATTTACTATGTATGCAATATTATAGAAGGTGAACGTTTATTTACTATGCTAATTTGAACTATTCTGATATTGTCCCAGAGTGTCATTTCTTCTTGAACTTTGTGCTCGCTTTTCGGGTATATAACAGCGAAAAATCAATGCGATTGGGTAAAAAAGATGCGCGTTACACTATATACATGGGTTACACGTTACAATTACTACACTTGTATGTTTTTGTACTGAATACCTGAATTGTGTTTTGCTAATGTTGATTTTGGAATGAGTCTTGTAATAATAATGGGCATAAGGCGACACTGACGACAACTAATTTAAGTTAAAAAACACAAATTTTCACACCTCTAAAAGATGTAATGTTCTCATCACTGAGCACACTTAAAGTCTACTCATAATTAAATTGATCCATTTGTAATAAATGGTCATTGACTGGTGTTCATTTTGCTATTATTAGAACGCGTTTACAAATTGTTTTTCATAGTGGGGATATTACGCCATATTTAAAATTGCACATTGGCGCAAAGAACGTCAACAATTATATATCTCAGATCTCATATGACATCACTGTCAATATTCTGATGTGGTCCTCTTGGCTCTTACAGAAACCATTCGATTGTGGTGCGACTAGTGTCACGCATGTAGCAAGATGTGCTCACTTTTCGTAAAACCTGACATCACTTTGTGTACTATGATGCCCACATATATCAATTGTTTGTTTTGTGTTCTTGGACTTTTACATTTTTCCATGCGACTTTTGCCTATAGAATTGCGGGTAGGTTACACACAGGTCACGCAAAATTACAATGCTAAAACAGGAATTTGCGTGTGTTTACCCATATTGTATACTACGAAATAAAATATAGTTTTCAGTTACGATGTTAAATTTCTAATTTCTAACACTCATACTACTTCGAAAGTCGCTTTATATATTGTATAACCCTAAATATAAATCTTCATAGTCTTAAATTTTAGCTCCAGTATTGGGCGAATAAATGTTAACCTTTACAGCAAATCATTTCCAACATATTACCAGAGCCTGGTCGCACCCTGTTAAAAATAAAGCCATCGAAGCTATTGAAGTTAAATCAATGATAAAACCAAAGTGTGTAATACTAAATGTACACATGTTTAATTAACATTCCATACTTGTAAAACATCAAACATAAATGTGTCAAATTACGATTCTGATTACATGAATTTTCTGGTCTCAAAAAGTAAATTTTATAAACAGACAGACAAATATCACAACATGGAACACAGGAGTCGACCTCACGATCACGGCAATTGCCTCACTATTACGGACAAACACGCTTCGCCACTCTCACTGCGCCGAAAAAAAAGATATCATAGTATACATAAATTAAATTAAATTTATTTGATCGAATATGCTGCAAGTATTAATGCATTTAGTAATGATGATTTAGACGAGCTACATGCTTTTAAAATGTAAATATTGTTAAGTTATGTAAATCGCAAAATAAAAAAATATTAATAGCTATGTTTGAAAAAAAAAAAACAGAAATTTGGCGGGTGGAGTCGAAGAAATAATGTGGTAACGTAGCTATTTTCCAAGAGGTCACGGGTTCACCCAAATGAATTGTGTTTAAAGACTGGTCTCCTTTTTTATTTACGCATTACGCTAAACTAGGCGAAACACTCACTGACAAACAATATAAAAGTATAACTTACGAGATTGATTTAACTGCGCTGAAGAGGACAAATATTCATACAGAGGCAGAATTGCAAATAACATGACGAAAGTTTCTCTTGCGTGAACTCCAAAGCATCATGGGATAGAGGCATACTCATTACTAAACCAAAATGCTGTTAGGGAATATTCAAAATTCAGAACAGTCGGTGGGTGTATAAACACAGTTAATTTATCATTATTATGAATAACATTAACTTAGTTATTTTGGAAATACAACCATGTACCATTAACATAACATGATTATAGTTCATTGTTGTTTTATCGTGATTTTTAACATCTTTACAATAATCTATATCATCATCTACAAATAGGGTATGCAAATTCAAGATCATTATAAATGTCTTTTTTATTGAAACTAATAAAACTAAGGTTTCATATAAAGCGACGAACCTTATCATTTGAAGAATTTATTGATATAATGAGTTTGCATTTATATATAATATAACCGTTACTTAGATGTTCTCCGATGGCGTCCATGTCACTTGTCTGGCGTGGGCTTCAGATCTCTCACCAATCGACTGTGACACAGACTGATATATGACAGGGGACACATCACTCCAACTGACTGACTGACTGACTGACTGACTCAACTTTTCCATATTCCTCAGCATCACATTGCTGGGCGTAATATTTTCAGGGTTCGTATCATGGCAACGGAAATGTTTTGCAGAATTACAGCATGAAAAAAATATTCACATAACAACATATGCCGGATCTTGCATCGCGTCCGATTTTAATTCCTTATTGTTTGAGAGCATAGGCCGTCACCAGATTGTAATGAAATGCATCAGACTAACTGTTTCAGTGTTAGTCACGTTTAATCTGGTTGCCGAACTCCACACTATTGCCACTGTATTTCCTTTTTATATCACTTAAAAATATGACTATGTGTGCGCGTTAGTTTCATGCCATATTCAGACACTACAGAGAAGCAAATCTCTTACCTTACCTTACCTTGATTTAATAATCTGGTTCAAAATATTTGCAAAATGTGTTTTTTGACAAATACTGACCTGAATGCTGAGAATAGAATAGAACACATTTTTTCTAAGGAATCGAGACGAATCGTGTCTTTGTTGTACTTTAATAAAAGTCAATAGTTCGAGATAATATTAAAAATTAAATTTATCGGTCACATTTAACCTCAGTTTCACATTTCTATAGTATTGTTTTACAGCACCATGTGTCAGGTGTTGCAACGCGTGCTCATTGACAGATTTTATTTCCGACGTTGTTTTTTTATTGTCCGAACAATGTAATCTTCCACCAGACTGTGACGGACAGTTGTCAAACATATAGCATAAACTGCGTGAAGCGATCGCAGACAAACTGTAGGCTCGGTATCGTCAAGAATCGACCAACACGACGTCAGTATGGAAAGAGTTGTTTTAAATGTATTTACAGTGTTTCTGTTAAGTGCATGTTTAACTAGTGTACAGGCAGCAAGCTTGGAAGGAAAGGAGTCGCCAGTGAGTGACACTGTAAGTCATTTCTCTTGTATAAAGTAATTCATCTACGAAGTACTGTAAGTATCAATGATTATTTAGGAATGATCTTAACTGAGTAGGCTAATTCTGAATCATGATTTGCATGGATCATATGCTGTTCATATTGTCCTTTCTCATTTTCATAAATGTTTCTATATTCGCATATGTGCCTGTAATTTCATTACTCACACTCAGGTGTTCTTCGCTGCCTGTTATACATATTTGTTCCCGAGGAAGTTCGTAAATGTCGTACAGTACAATGTGGCGTAACGGATAGCGCGTCTGCTTACAATTGCAAGGTGTTTTTCATGTTCATATGTTTGTATTTGTGCCTGTAATTACTTACTTATTTACACTCATTGTGCATGTTGGACATATTTGTACCTGAATAATTTAATAAATGGATAGTTTGTTCTCACAATGATCATACTAGGCCTCATTTGTGTGCGTAATCACATTCTACACTTTGTTGTCTGACGGTGATTCGAATTGCGCGTGTCCTACCAGTCATTATAAGCGCGCATCAATACATACTATTTTAAGCTGTCTTTTTCGAGAGCGAGTCTGCTTACAGTTGCGAGGCGCATTATAGAGTTGCGAGTTTGTTTCTCGTGTTTCATGTTTGTATTGTTTGTATATGTCACTGTAATTTTATATCAACTAGTCAATGTGGGTCGGTGTTGTTGACAGGGTGATTATGTTGGATATCGATGTGACTTTTGGTTGAAATACGACTTTTAGGCTCTGCTGTAATTGCTGATATGATTACGTTTGCGATTGAAATACGTCTATGTTAATTATCTAAATTTACAAGAGATTACGCAATATTTTGATATCACAAAAAAAGCATTTATCAGAATTATACAAAATTTGTTCTAACGATGTGCTAGGATAAATCACAGACAGCAAACCTATCTATACAATGAAAGTTATTTCTTTGCTTTAATAGTATTATAAATTGTGAGTCACAATTATATTATATTAGCCAGGCTTCTTGTCCGAAGGGCCAATTTGAAATTTGGAAGCCGTTTTAACTGTACCCTATATATGATTTACGTACATTGATATTCTTAGCTTTCTTTGATTTGAACTGTCGTTTGAAGTTAAGGTGTAGCAAGTGTATAGAAGCCTGTTCTAACACTATTCCGTTTTTTTTTTTACGAGTCATTTCTTGCACGCAATACACGTAGTTATAATTGCTATGTCACCACGTTTGCAGGTAGAGGTGAGGCGACTTACCTTGGACGATAGTGTGAATGCCGTGTTGTTATGTTAATAGATTGTATAAAATAACTGCCGACAATCAAATATTGAGTCAGTGTTTTAATCATTTAAACCAAGGAATCATTTCTACACAAAGCCCCACATGGTCTGAGTACTGGATTGTCCTGTGTGTATATTAAAAATGTCATAACTTTTAAACATGTTGGTACATATGTAAAACTAGCTCATTTTATAAAAGGTCAAATGTTGTTGTATATAAGGAAATTTATATTACACAAAATATGCATAAAAGGAACTTACATTAAAGTCATCAAAGTATTTTACCGGTAGCACTAGACTCAATCTGAAACGTTTTTTTAGTATTATAGTTATTAAATGTACGTGTAAAAATGAACCGCGAGTTTGCATAAAATTTTGTATTATACGATTCTCAATACAAAATCACCTTGTCAATCACATTTCCCACAAAATATATTGTATCTAACAGCTTTATGGCACTATTACTATACACTGTCTTTATTGTTATTGTGTTTTTTTAGGAAAGTAGACTTGACAGTTTTTTTCATGGCTTGTACCAAAGTAAGTGCACATGAATATTTGTGTTTGGATATTGCAATTTGATAAACATTTCACAAACATGTCTGTTTTACAGAAGTATTTTGCTTGATCTATTAATTGTCGAAATAAAGCTGTAGTTTGAACTGTACAATAGTAAAAATAATAGTCATTTATATAATTATTCACTTTTGTATGTTTTCAGGACAGGCGCTACAATCTCAATGTAATGTAAATGGTTAGTATTATTCATGATAATACATTAATTTAATGCATTTACTTATTGTGAAAGTAAAACATATAATTTGCAATTCGGAATCTCCATCTCAATTTATGCCCGTTAATCAAAATGATACAGACGTTTTGTTGCCAGTTTTTCATGGGAAACTGAGCTTCAAGCTGGCTAGGGTGTACACCATAACCCTATGTAGCTGTAGTCATTGACTTACAAAGTATGTTTCTTTTGTTTCAGTAAAAACAAGCTAATAGTTTTATTCTTTTCACACTTTTAGACCCATGTAAATCATCTATGCTATATAAAGGGTCAACTGTTACCTCACATGGAGAATGTGGACAACAATGCGATATCACAAAAGATCTGCAAATGAATAACAACCTTAATTTATGCAACAAAGTAAGCAAATGTGGATGTAAATGCTGTATCCGGTCAAACATTGGTGAGTGTTATAAATAATCTATTCTGTATGACACAGTTAGTATTCATGTACGTAAAATACATTACGAACATCCCACGCGTTTGGACACTGTCCAAAGGAGAATCGTAAACATAAGAACATCATTTTGAAGTGTACGCCACTCTATTCATTAGACAAATGATCGTACATGTTGTTTCCAGCCTCATTCGACGTGCCATAGTACGTATTACATATTGTAATTCCTATAAAGATTTCTCTGGACACATTTTACTGATTTTGTATGTGTTTCTATATTTATTTGACATGATGTATTACATATAGTTTTTTCAGACTATCAAATCAATATTCGAAAGATCACATGTTAAAATATAAAAGCAAAATATACAAGCAAATGCCAATAAAATATTTATTTGAACAACATCTCACTGAATATTCAGGAAAATCGGACTTCCTCCCGAAAATACCTTAATTGAAATTGGAATAACGAATAGACAAATAGTTGTATACCATTCTTTTCAATCGCGATGACAATGTAGTTAGCCCATTGAATGCCTGTATATTCTGCATGACCTCTGAGAACACGTCGATACATTATATGATTGAGTATGATATAACATTGTAATATATTGATGTTTGTTGAACATCTGTCAGTGCCACATGTCAGTGCCATACGCAATATCATTTTTGACCTAGAGTGAAAATGAAATTGTTGTTACTTTAACAGGAGTGGTACAGCAACAACAAAATTAATGAGATAGTATTACTAATTTTCTACCAGTACTTGACCCATATATGCTACTGAACATGGAAATATTTCTCAAAGCTTTTCGAATTGAACTTAAGTTTATATATTACACATAAGTATACTATGCTTAGTTTGTTATAATGTATTTTAGGCAAATCCTTGGAGGCAATTGGTTATCAATGTATAGCAGATGACGGTAAGTTGTGTATATTAAATATAAATTATTGTCTGTCGGGTTATGTCTATCAAATACAACACGATTGTAATGTAAGTGTAAAACCAAATACAGCACAATTACATAATACGTGGTGAGTTGATTGTGTATTGTTTATAAAAGCTTTATTGATATTCCAAACCATAAGAACCACGTAAGATGACTCAATAATTATAGCTACATATTCTTCCAAATATCACTAATATATTTTTCGTTGAATCAAGCAGAACGTGACTTATGTGCATGTAAATATGGTGGCAAATGTAAATCCAAGTGTGAAGATGGAGAAAATATTGTCAAGAGTAAACAATTCACTGTATGTTCATTGTCATGTGTTTGTTGTGTAAAAAGTAAGTGTTACTCATCACTGGTAGTCTTGAATTATGCTAACCTGTCAATTTCTTACATTTGCGGACTGTGTAAAACGCTAGATATCAGTGTATCCCCAAAGCGGCAAATGCATTGTTGGGTCAATTTAAATAAAGGTTTCTTAATCGAATAAAAGTAAATCACGTAATATATACATATAGATGTGAAACGGGTATATAGGACACACAGGATGTCAAGTTCGTGGTTATACAATATGAGAAAAGGACTTTGGATGACCATTTTGCATGTTACACAGGGTAAAACTATACGTTTCTTATATGAATCGCCTTGTTAGTTTTAAAATCAATGGTATATCTTTCTTCTTTGGGGCTATGTGGCAAAGTATGCAGTTTAAAAATGTTTGGAGCTTTATGCACGACTTTATGCACGACTGCTTTTCAGGTTTGGCGTGTGGCTACAGATTAAGCATGCTAGGTGTGCAGGGTATACACATTAGCTTTTCAGGTATGACAAGTTGTAGTGCCGACGACGCCTAGATGGTTGAAAGTACGTGGGTTAGGCAGGTAACACATGTTAAAATTTCGCGTTTGACCTGTTACGCAGGGCAGGCACGTTAGTTACCTTAGCTTTTCATGTTATTGCGATCAAATTAATTAAAAGTTCAATCTCACGGATAATAATATCTCAACATATGGTTAGCATGCTTTCTTTGCTGCCATGAGACTTCTGGCACCGATTTACCATCGTCGAGGAACTAGATTGAAACAGTTTTTATAAGATAATGTCCGGACTCCTTTCAACGTTGTACTGCTGTGTAATACAGTGTGTTTTGTATATTTCATGTATTTTCAGCGGCAATCTTGCACATGACATGTGACAGCAGCACAGTACCTTTCTTTAATCATGTCCTCCAATCACATCAGAATAAAGACTTGTAAAATCAATTCCTTATGTTCGTTCGACACTATCAATTTCCGCCCAACAGTTCCATCATTCTCTGCTACATTGTTTAATCATAATATGTCATCTTACCATTTTAATTGATCCTAATTGCCCAATACTTTTTTCCCCAATTCAGTCTACCTTTTCTGCTGCTCAGTCACATTCAGTCATCAAAATTTGATCAAACTTCAGACGTTTCGCTGCTCATCATTGGGTCGATCTTGATGGCTTGGTTTGTGAGAACCGAGTCCATTAAACTCATGCATATGCCTACAGACATTTAGCCAAACTGCATATGTGCGGCTTCTAGGATAGTGTTCCGGAACTAATTCTTCCCCAGTAGTCCTCCCTCCATCTGCTGTCCACGAGAGTGCAGCTATCTACATCCCCTCTAGCTTGGATATCAGCTGGTAAGGAACCCTTTGAAGCACCTCCGCATCGGTGCACTTTATCGTCATTTTATATGGCTTGGTTTTTTTTGGAATAACTTTGTGGTACGTCCAGTGTCAGTCGGCGGCTTCTGGCTGGGTCCTCGCTGTTCTGCCAGTTGCCCGCATGTCCGTAAATTTGAGTGTGTCCTTTCATGACATCAGCATTTCCATAGATTCTGTCAGGTTGGTGCACAATTCTTTGTTGTCGAAAGCGCCATGTTTAGTTCGTACCATAAACTCTCGACCATATAAATAGTGTCGTTGTGGGGCATGCTAAAGTTCTACACTGGCCCACCTAACGTCTTGTTGTTGTAAGCTGTTTTCTTCTGTTTCCCGGGACAATTCTCCATCCTCGACATAGTCCTAACAACTAGCACACGTTTCTATGACATCCATGCCATCTATAATTGCTGTGTACTTAGTCAAATATAAGCTAAAATTTTTTAACCAAATGTTGTTTTTTGGGGGTCATTTGCACGTTTTGATAATTACGTCACACAATCATCATTATGGGTATTTTAGTAGTTTATTCATTGTTATAGACGACAGTACAACTACGATTAAACATAAAAATACAGTGATCACGTTTTATTCAAGCAAAAAAGAAATACAAAGTACCTCATAATGATGGTACTAAGTAACTAAGAAAAAAGTCGATTTGGTGCTCTTGAGTATCATACTAAGGAAAATGACAATATATGCAAATTTGACTACCTCTAACGTGCATAACCTGTTAGGGTATAACTAAATTAGCAAATTCCTCGACTGCGGAGGTTATAAGCTTTTAAAAATAACTGCATATGTTCAGGAAATTGCTGTTGTTGCATCATATGACTACCACATTCACGAATACCGATTTACTTACCGCCTTATTTTTCAAATCGTGTTCTTCAGAGCTACTTACCACATTCATCCACAATTTGGTCTGTATGAAATGTTTGCAAAGATCATTTTTTGAAGATCTTTTTGTCACAGATGTGGTTTAGCATTGCCTGTCAAGACATATAATTATAATTATTATCATTGATGCAATGACGTCACTAGTGTTCAATGGTTTCTTATTGCATTATGTTTTGTTACAGCAAAAGAGCATAAGCTCGAAGGTAAGAAAAACACAGAAAATTGCAATTGTTTTTCAAATATAAATTATGTGTTTAATTGAGTAAACTGATATTGTTTCGATTGTTTGTTTTAATGTCACTCCACTTATTTTTTTATCATGCCATTATCCCATTGTATTTAATAGGAGGGCAATCACAGGGAGATCCCCATTTAACAACGTTTGACGGCTTGAACTATACTCATACCGGTCAAAACTGCACATATGTATTATTCAAAGAGTGTAAGCGATACCCGTCATTCGTGGTAGCTACAAAATATACAGGATTTATAGATAGGAGAGAGAGAATCCACAGCCAGGTGTCAGATGTACTAATTAAAGTGAAACACACCTTGATCCAACTTGGTCAAGGGAGTGAAATATACGTAAGCATACGTTATAAACATTGTGACAAGTTTAACGGCATTTTGTGGTATTTCGTGTTTTTAGGTTTTGAATAGTAATTTGTTGTTTCCTGAAACTATTAATTTGTAACCGATTAGTTTTTAAGAATTTTAAGAGTTCCAGAGGCATACTTGTATCGGTAATTTTGTGGAGTATGTTGAATCATATTTATTACTTGATGATCATGGGAAAAATAATTAAAATATGTTAAAGCTGCGACAATGAGAAAGTAGTAGTGAATCAAAATATGTTAGTTCTATTATCGTTTAACGACCACTCATAAATTGTACAGGTTAATGGCAAGCCGATCACTGTACTGCCTTGGACTGATGGGGGGACAATTACAATCAGGAACAGAGATAACAGACACGTGAGCGTAAACGTCGAAAACAAATTCACTGTTTCCTGGACTGGTTTCGGCAACATAGCCTCAAAACTCGACTCGTCATTGGATGGAGCTGTATGTGGATTGCTCGGAAATGCTGACGGAGATCCAAAGAATGACTTGCAGATGGAAGATGGTACATTGGTGGGAATCGAGGATGCTGAAAAGTTTGGAAACAGCTGGATGATCCCTGGAAGGTAAGTCGTGTTTATAATTAATTATATGGTTTTATTGCAACCGTTTGAATTGCAATCGGCGCAACCATGACCCAGTAGTGAAAAATAAATTTTGAAAGGAACATTGTCTTTACGTAAATGCAGTCAATAGCTACAATGATCTTACAAATTCCATAAATCGCTCTAATTTCAGTAAATAAATATAAATTATCTATTCAATTATTATAGCATTCAAGTACTCAATAACTATATGTGCAAAATACGAATGCATCTTTAAACAGATTACGTTTACTTCTAATTATTTTCAGCTGCAAGACGGAGGTTACAAAGGATGAAATAAAGTTTATTCAGCAGTAAAAAGGAGTGAATTGTCCACCACTTAATAAGCTAGCCTGATCTGACATCGACCCTGATTTAAACAATAATATGTGTAGTAATACTTTTAGCTAGCTTACTGGCGACTGTATGTAAAAGGCGTGTTTTGAAATACTGCATTGGAACTATAATAGACACTTTTTTAGTGCGGGTTTTATTTCTATACTTTGTTTTCGATGGTTTTAGCTATATAACTTCTATATAATATATACTAAATGCCGTTGATGGTAATTAGCGCACAATAAAGTTAAAATTTTCTTGTTCATTTGATCGATATTTAATACATGTATGACAAGTAGTATCTAACTATAGTTGTATATGTAGACCCGAATCTGATCATTTATTTATTTCTTTACTTTGTATTTGCATTTGTGGTTGATTCGCTTATAACTAATAAAAGGTGATTTGCACTGGGATATTGTTTGGTTATATGTTTTATTTCACGTACCACTCAATGATTCTATGAAACACATTATGTCAACGTAGATAAATATAGGTCGGTTTGGTCGCAAAAGTTTATTTACCTTTGAAAACAGCAAACACGATTATGTCATACCCAAACCCCAAGCCACTGATCCCCAGTATTCGGAATTCCCCAGCTAAAAAAGACAGCCCGCTATGGGAACATTTCCCGCAAAGAAAAATAAAAAATGTGAAATTCTGTTATATTCCGATGAAGTCACATTCTAGCTCCTATACCACATCCACTCAGTATAATATAATGTATTTGGGTGTAGCCACTAAGTGTACCGAGGACGCTCGTGTAATAATAAAAGTTACATAGCTTGACAATTACAACACTTACCATTACCGTGTCACTTGATAACATTGTAATTAAGTTTTTCAATCAGACGCGACTTGAACGTGGTCAGACAAAGTCCAAAACGGGGACTTATACGTTAGTAGATGGCCGACTGGTGGCCATTTTGTTTTTAGTCGCCGTTCGGACGAAGTCCGAAAACGGGGACTATTAATTTAGGTTCGTTCCGTCCGTACGGATTTTATTCAAACTTCACATGAAGACAATACATAATGTCTTACATATGCGCGTTACTTTATGATCGGAGTTACTATAAGTTACTTTATGATCGGAGCAAAAAAAGCCGACTGGCGGTCATTTTGGATGTAAAATCAGTTTCTCAGAGATGACTGGGCCGATTTGGATCAAAGTAGGTATGATGATCATACATATTGGGTTGTAGGTGCACGTCATTTTTTTTCGTGATTCGAACAAATATGGCCGACTGGCGGCCATCTTGTTTTTCATGGTACCCATGCTACTTTATCTTGAATGCAATGAACGTTTCTGTTTAAATTTTGTACAAAGATAGTATACCAAGAGATACATCTGCACCAACATGATTTTTGTGATTCAATTCAATATGGCTGGCCGACGCCCAATTTTCATGTAAAAGCGCTAAATCGTCATTTTTACATGTCCGGAGCTGTTTCTCAGAGATGACTGGGCCGATTTGGATCAGACTTGGTATGATGATCATACATATTTGGTTATAGATGCACGTCATACTTTTTCCGTGATTCAAACAAATATGGCCGACTGGCGGCCATTTTGTTTTTCATGGTACCCATGCTACTTTATCTTGAATGCAATGAACGCTTCTCTTTAAATTTTGCACAAAGATAGTATACCAAGGGATACATTTGTACCAACATTATTTTTGTGTTTCGATTCAATATGGCTGACCGACGCCCAAATTTCCTGTAAAAGCGTTAAATCGTCATTTTTTACATGTCCGGAGCTGTTTCTCAGAGATGACTAGGCCAATTTAGATCAAAGTTGGTATGATGATCATACATATTGGGTTATAAGTGCACGTCATATTTTTTTCGTGATTCAAACTAATATGGCTGACTGGTGGCCATTTTGTTTTTCATGATACCCATGCCTACT